CATTTCAATTTTAATTTACTTAAAAGAAAAACAAAATGAAAATACGTGCTCTATAAAATACAATTATATTAGTGCTAGGTAAAAATATAATTCTATTAGTGTTTTATTTGAACAATTTTCTTAATTTCGAAAAAGCGAATAACTATATATCGGAAAAACTACTCGCAAAGACTGATTTACACTATTCATTTTTGTTCTACTGCTTTTGGGTAAAATAAATGAGAAAATTACATTATATTTTAGTAACAAAGTTTAACTAATTTAAATTTGTTATAGTTTGGGTCTATGTTTAACTTCGATTAATTATTTGATCGAGGGTTGATTTCATTCGGTTACTAGACCTACGGTAGTTAGTGTCACTAGACCACTTGCTGGCAAATACACGTACAACACTGAATAGAATTAGTTTCAAAGTAATTTTGTAATGACTTTAGCCATCTCACTACTGGGAACAGTAAAGTAAAAAAGTAAAGTTATAGCCCATATACGTCCCACTGCTGAGCACAGACAACGCTACTCTAATGCGTTTCGACGGGCTTCATATATCTTTGAAATGTTTTATTTTTCGAAATATGCAGGTATCCTTACAATTTTTTCTTGTGTTTTTTCAGTACTTGATATTATTGCAATTAAAATTTTTATTTGTGCCAGCGTGGATGCAACCTGGTTTGCACGCGTACTGTGAAATTTAGTGTTAGCACTTTGTCCCTTAGCTACTACGTTTTGCTGTAAGCTTTACAAATATTATGATTATGAAAAACGGTGGAGATGTCTGGATGGTTGTTAACTAGTCATACTTGTAAAAGCTATCTAAGTTTTGGAGGATACAGGCACAAAAAACAACGGTATATGAATAGCATAGAATAGAATATAATAGGATACTTTTTATTTAATATAGATTATTACATAATACTTATTGAAAGTATTTTTTTTTTATTTGCCACTGGTTCGGAATATAACTTTGTCCCGGGAAGAACTAGCAAGAAACGCAGCGGTACTTTTTTTAAACATATTTCATTTTACAATAATTTTGTTTTTTTTTGTTTGTACAAATTTTAATAGTTTAAGTTGTTAGTTTTAATAGAAACAGCATGGTGGCGATCACCTCATTCCACAGGCTTTTTTTACTTATGAATTCATTGGTATTATTATAACCCTTTTTGTACAATTTTTCTTCAATAAACCTTTACACTTATTTATTGACAAATTATGTATTTTCTGGGATTATGTTGTAAAAGCGTATAAATTGCCCCATAAATAAATTACTAGTTATGTGGAGTCTAGTAACTGGGATTACAAGCTCATGTTTGATCCTACTGTTTAAAGCATGAACATCTTTATTCTTATCAAAGCTATTTATCTTTTTATGTACATTGAGTCATTCCATATTGGTCTTTACAAGTCAACTGCACCTTCAATCTACAGTCTTCTTTTCTGAGGGCTACAAATGTTTATAGAACCAGGTATAGATTAATTTTCCAAAGTAAAAGATTAACAAAGTTGATAAGAGCTCGCTTTAAAGCCCAATGTTAACTTAAACAAAGACAGCCACTTTTAAGAAAATCACTGAGATTCAAGATTAATATTCCGAATAATAAGGCTTTCTACATTCAATACGTATATTGGCTACTTCTTAGGATCATTAAAAATATTTTAAAATAAAGTTAATTAGACATTATTGTATTCAAGTGGCAGTGCGGAATAATTTTAGATGTTTCTTTCTTTCGCCATATAAGCTACGGAAGCTTTTAGGAAATTCTGACTTTAAATTAAAAAAATAATAATTAAATTAAAAATCATTTATTACGGAACTAGTGCATATCACACTTCATAAATTCACATCGAAACTAAAATATTAAATATAAGTTATGATGTCAATTTTATATGAATTACATAAAAAAAAACATGTAAATTTTACATTCAATGCATGTTACTCAGAACAAGTGTGATATTAGCGTCCATATTATGTATTACTTAATTTTCATTGTGATGGTCAATGAAAACTACATTTGGTGACATCCATTCGCCCATCCATTAGAGCCGACAAAAGTCCACTGCTGAACATATTCTTACCCCATAGATATTTATATTTATTTATTTATTTTATTAGGCTCTCACAACAATGAGTACACTGTTACATACATATGGAATAACATCACAATTATTAAAACTAAATGTCCCTTTACTTACAGGAGGGCACCACATGCATAAAAAAAGAGACTTTACGTTGATTTCACAACATTACATAGGTACAATTTAACTTTAATAAAATTTTAATTTAAATTAATAATGAAGAAACTTCCATTAGAACATAGCCTTAATCGACTACTACTTTTTTGATGCCAGCCATCGAGGTTGAGAATAGGTCTATTCTGCTTTGGTATTCTTTATATAATGTAAATATTCTTGTTAAGGAACAATGTGATCTTAAATTAGTTCGACCTTGAGGTGCAACAAATAATTTGATATTACAGGATCTAGGCAACCGATGTGGTACATTAAAATTTATCTTACTAAGAAGATAGGGACAGTCCAAAAATCCAGTCACTAATTTCTTTAAAAACAATAAATCAATAATTTTTCTTCTCGTTTCCAATGATGGGATCTTAAAATGAGACAGTCTTTCCTCATATGACTTGAGCGTCCTGGCCATATTACTGCTACGAGTAAATTGCCACAGAAACCTTTTTTGTACTTTTTCAATGCGGTCTATATGTATTCTGTAACTGGGTGACCAAACTACACTGCAATACTGAGGAGTTGTAAAATATTATTTTTGTGGCTGGTTTTTTAAAATTCCCACTCTCCCTTAGCACAAACCCAAGCATCTTGGATGCTTTTAGTACACAGTCATTTATATGTAAATCAAATTTAAGTTTTGGATCCATCTGAATGCCTAGGTCTTTAATTACATGAACTTCTTCAAGCAATTCATTACATATACTATATTTAGAATTGACAATCCCTCTGTTTCTGTTGAATCTGATATGCTTGCATTTTTTATATTTAAAGACATTTTGTTTCGGTCACACCAATCTGCAAGGCTATCCAGAATACTTTGAAACAGCAAGATGTCCCCCTGATTCCTTATAATTTTAATAGCTTTAAGGTCATCAGCAAATAAGATTGCTTCAGAGTTTCGGAAACACTGTTTAATATCATTCATAAATCATGTGAAGAGATAGGGCCCCAAATGGGATCCTTGCGGGATTCCAGACAATGCAGCATAAGGACTTGAGCAAATACCGTTCAACACAACTTTCATCTCTCTATCAGTCAGATATGATGCAAACCACCCTAGAGATCACATCCATCGGGTTATTATATTTTTTAACTCTGAACCTCAACCGATTCTTTTCATTCAATCTTTTTATTAGTTGTTTTGAGAACCAATATGTATACTTATTATTTCTTACGATCTTTCGTGGTACATGTTTTTGTATTAGTTCACGTATTATATAGTAGAATTTCTCAACCATGATATCGACTGAGACACATGAAGAGAATTCCAATAGCCACTCAATTTCTTGAAGCGCTGTGCAAATTCAATTATAATCAGCTTTAAAATAATTTAATTTTGTATAAATGGTAATAGGTATATTAACGACTTTCTTAGAAAAGGTAAGCGAAACTTGTACAGGTGGATGGTGAAGATCAATTTTGGATAGCACGTGGCTGGATATGCTTATGTTAATATTATCCATATTCGATAACACCAGATCGAGGATTCTCTTATTATGATTTAACAAGTCGTTATGCTGCCTAAGGTCGTTTAATGTTATGAAATCCCACAATGATTGTTCAATTTTAGATAGCACATTGGCGTGAATTAACTATACTGTCATTATTGTTAATCCAGTTGATAGTATTTATATTAAAATCGCCTAGAATTAGACATTCCGCAACCTCTTCCAATACTCTGTTAGCGTTACTAATGAAATGATCCAATATATTAACCTTAATTGGGGAAGGCAAATAAACTCCACATAATGAAATCTCCTGAATCCCGTTGCATGTCGGCAAAAGCAATTCGACCCAGAGATCATCACAAGAGCTTTCATAATCTAGGACACTATACGAATTGTATTTCTAGAAATACCTATCAAAACAACGCCACCACTGTCTTTGCTATTGAAAATACTTTTACTTCTGTCAGGCCTGTACAGAACATATCGGTTATCTGTGATCTCTGAGTCATATATGCCATTCAAAATCCATGTTTCCGTAAATACAATCACATCGTAATCAAAACAAGCTATCTGACAATAAACACCATTCAATTTTGTTCTAATACCTCAGATATTTTGGTAGTATATCTTTAACCGTGTGAATTTAAGAGAATAAAAACTATTGCATACAAAAATAAAACAACTATAACTAAAGGTGCCTAACTAAGACTATCTAAAGTTTCGAGGTCTCTAATATATTTTTAGTCGCTGGTTTCTGACTTTCTCGTGAAAGTTCTACCTCTGCAAACCCAAACAAAGTTACAGTTCAATTCTTTTGCTTTCTTTCGGGCTGCAGCATGTAAATATTTATTCGTTGGAGATAAGTGCTCGACAACATAGACATTCTCCTTGGCACCTCCTATGCCAAGTAGATTACTATTTAATTTCTCATTTGGATTAGCTTTGTTGTACTTAATTGAAGCTGCGAGAAAAGTATCTCAAGTGCGTGAAGAGTTGAACTGAACAACGATGGACTTCGGGCGTTTGCTATTTGTGTCGCGTTTTGCAATTCTAGTAACATGATGTATTTGGTTCTCGCTTCTATCACAGGATATTACTTTGCTGAGGTTAATGACAGTGGACACTACATTCTCGCATTTGATTTCTGGTAAACATTGGATTTCCACATTGTTAGTTCTCGCCTGTTGTTTCATGGAATTAATTTTCGTACTTAAGTCCTGCACGGTGGATTTAAGATGGCTATTTTTCTTCCTGAGTTCAGTCAGAGTATTAAACTTTTCCGTTAAATCTGTCTTGAAGCTTTCATACTTATCATTCAAAAATGACATTGACTCCTTCACTTACGATATATCTTCTTTTATTGATTTTAATTCGATATAAACAAAACTGGCTGTTACTGCCTACGGTTGCTCCCTTAAAGGATCCAATCCTCTGGGGCCCATGAGCAGAAGACTTCCCGAGCAAACGTAGGTCGGGCCTCAATGTGGCCACGTGGAAATTCCTAATTACAATAAACCAGATGGGAGGACGTTAGAAGGACATAGTACTTACCATTATCCGAAGCTAACTTCGCACCAAGGCTTGGGCAGGGCGTGAGTGTGTGTAATAGTGGATGGAGAGTAGTGTACAGTGAGGGGTGAATGTGTGCGGCCTTGTCAAGCATAGGCGACCAGCTGCTGCCGAGTTCCAGGCTGCTCCAAAATGCTGCCACACTGCTTCAGACTGCTTCGGCGCCGGACCACAGTCACTTTCTTCTTTCGTCACGATGACTGTCAATTAACTCTATCGTACGATTAACTAACTTACAGAAGCCACTAACTATCTCGGGGTATAAGGTTACCGCACAAAACACGCACGGAGTTTCTGGATCTAAGGTCACTACCGTTTCGCGTTGCAACAGGTAGTTCTAGAATACAGAGGCCGCACTAGCTAATATTGTCGAATGCACTTATACAGATTCTGAGTCGGACCCAATAAGTCCCGGGGAAGCTCTCCAGTAGGGATACGTGCCACAAAATTCCTAGACCGTATTTTTACTGTCCGCGCTTAATTATTCCGAGTTCCCGCGCTTAATTGGCAGCGTGCCAATCATGAGCACTGCCTAAGGACGACTGACTGCCCTTGGGCGTTTTTCGCACGACCGAAAGTCAACCCTGTATGAATGCACCGCGCCGAGCGCCCTCTCGTGTCAATCCTTGAAAGTGGTTTGCGCGAACACTGGCTATAGTATCATTAAGATGTTTTAAAAGATTCTTAATTTCCGATTTCACATTATCCCGAACTTCAACTACTGTGATAGGTGTAAGCGGTTGGAAATTTATCACTATGCCTCCTCTTCGGCGATTGACATTTTCATCACGAATTTGTTTAGATTTAAAATAAGGCCGTATTGGGGTATTATCGGCATTTTTGTTCCTAGGTTGACAGTCGGGACACATCCAGTTTGTTATATCTCTTAATGAAGCAAATCCAAACGTAGATTGAATACAAGATTCGTGGTAATGCTGATAGCATTTTGAACATATAAGCGATTCTTCATTATCAATTAACGATAGACAAGCATTGCATTTTTTCATGTTTGTAGATTTATAAGAAAAAATAAATAATAAAATATAAATGCACACTAGGAAATGCCCTTATACTGCCGTAGCACAGGCCAGCCGAACCACTTCAATGGTTTTGGTACACTAATAACGGCTCCGGTAACTGAGCGTGAGCGCTGTTGTTGGTTAAAAGGTATTAAGCGCCGGGAAACACTCGTTGCTTACGCTTAGTGGTCAAACACTGGATATTAAAGTACTTGACGGTGTATTTACAAACACTATATGAGCTTGGTTATTTCTGTATACTAATTTTGGTGTTTTATGCACTAAGTTTTCCCAAATCTATTGCACTTAATGGTCACTGTTGTCGTATTTATGAATTGTTGTATAAATTACGGCACAAAAACACATATGTACAAAGTTATGAATTTAAATTTGCGGAGCGCACTGACAGCAAATCAACGCAATGAATCTCGCGACGGACCTAGATAATCTCATAGGGAGGATTTCGCTATAACTTGCTATTCTGAGTTGTAATCAGGAATATGCTGCTGCCCACCTACTGTTCCTGTTTCCCTTTTGTCGCCTCGTACGACACCCATGGGACGATATTGTACATTTACGCACTACGTGTGGCATTAAATATAACCGTGTAGTGGTGGTGGTGGTGTATTTAATTCCACTATTGATAACTATCTTGTATTAAGATAATACGTATGTACCTGTTTTATCTCAATATATATAATTCTAATTAATAGAATCAGGCGTTACTTTGCGGAAATCCATTATATTAAAGTTGGCAAAAACTACCTAGAGTAAATCCGCTCGATAAAATAAAATGATGTGTTTTACCTAGTTTGAAGAGCACCTCCCGCCCTACTTCAGTTGCGTGCACTAACTCCGTCACCACTAATCCCAGCACCACTACTCCTAACACCACTAGAGTAGGAAAGACACACAAATGACGACAATACGACACGTGTTTCGCCTCTACACGAGGCATCTTCATGTGATGTAGACTCTGCGGTGGCTAACCGCTATTCGTCCAGTTGTCCCATATATAGGTGCACCAGCTTAGTCGTATGAGGCGACAAAAGGGATTATCCTTGTTTATGAAACAAAATTCAGATGCATTATCACCCGTGAGGACTAAGATGGAATCTCTCTTTTCCAGTAAAAATCGTCCCCAGTTCTCTACACTCACCATACAAAACACAGTAGCATTAAGCTACTATTTTACGCTGGTATTCTATGAGAGCGTTGACCTTCCTCAGTCGAGCCGAATTATTGGTGCTACAACTATACTATTAATATAGCTACAGCATGGCTCTACCACGTAAAAAATCATTAATTATTCAGTATATCTCACATAGTATTATGGTGGTATTGTGTGTTGAAAACTTTGAATATCATAGGACATTATTCAAGATAATACGCAAGTTCCCCTGTTATATTTGCATTAAAATATATCTCGATTTGTCAACAGTTTAGTATTATGTGTAACCAACCACCTGCTCCAGTCGCGATAGCGAGCTTTACATTATTAATTGCCTTTAAGTACAACCATATATTGTAATTGATTTGACAATTTTGATTGGATTCCTTTGGTACGAAATAGAAATTTGCTTGAATATGAAACAGGCTAAGTTAGAAGCATTAAATTTGACAAAAAGTAAAGTCTCAAAATTGAAGGAAGACATCCGAATTCAGATTACAAGCATACATTTATTGTTCGAATGTAATGTGGACTAAGGAATGATTATGAGAGGCCATTTTTTCCCTACGAAGTTAAGTTTGTCCTTCAATCCGACGTATTGCTAGAGCGACGTCGGTGCTAACTTTATCTAAACTTTATGAATTCTATTTCATTCATTCATGCATGCATAGCCTGTAAAATGTCTAACTCTGATTTTAGGTCGTCCTCCTTCAGTCGTCCTGTTTTTTTATTATTACGACTTGTTATCACGTAGATGCTGCAGCCCACCCTCTCTTTTATTTCCCTCTATCACCTCCTACGACTTTTATGTGATGTTATGGGATTGTGAATTATATTGAGATAAATGATTAATGATATGATATGATAAATGTAGATTTTATGGCCCACAGCATTCACTTACTCACTCAAGTGGACTGTGTACTCATATGTTACAATTAAATGTAAAAAAATAATGGTTTCCCATTTAGATAATATAATTAAGAAAATGAATATAATAAATTAAAAGCAAAATGAAAGTTCATGTACAAATTATGTGTAGGTATCAAAGTAGAAATATAAATTTTCTTTTTTTCCTAAAAGTTACGTAATACGTCTAAGTAAACGTAATCAGTTAAAAAAAAAAACAATAAAGCCTAAATACTTTTCAAATAAAAGCTTCTGAAATCATAACTTTATTTCTTTGATATACTCGTACTATACCTTGGTACCGTCTGCATTTTAAATGTTATTTTTGGTCTTCTTGTGTAGATTTAGGTAGGTATAGTATAACAAGCTTGAATGTCATCAAAATATTTCATTTAAAATTTCATCCACTTTTTTCTCGATTTTATGATCACCCATGCAGCTCTAGTTTATAAAAAATAACTAGTAAGATCGGTACACGAATGACAAATATATCGCGTAGCAAAAGCGTTTAAACACAAAAAAAAAACAGTCGAATTGAAAAACTCCTCCTTTATGGAAGTCGGCTATAAAATAATGTGTGAAATTCAAGAATAGCTAGTTGTAAAACTTTTGACGCTAGGAAATATTTTATATTATACCTTGAGTAATATGAATTGATATGTAAACTGTTCTTTAGTGAAGCATCCGCGCACTCCACAACAAAGTAAGAAATATAATAAGATTTGTAAGTTATATATTGGAACTTTTCAAAATGTTGTTTTTAAAAGTGCTATTGAACTATTTTTCGGCATAATGTCCTTTATTTATATCTAATGAGTATTTTGAAGCGCTCGTAAGGGGACTATAAAAGTGCATCTTGCTCGAAATCTTGTTGAGAACTGTGACTCATCAGCATCATCATTACATCCTATTAAAATCCACTCCTGAACATAGACCTCCCCAAAGACTGCCTCATAAGGGATATTGCTACTTGCCATAGATGCCATGCTTGGCAGGCAGGTTGGCAACTCGAGGTTTTTGTTTTCTATTGGTTATTAGGAAGACTACTGCCCATCTTATATACAAATTAGGTTTGTTTTCCGCCTATCACCTATGAGAATTAAGACGTAAGTTAGTGGTGATACTAGTACAGCAACAGAATTTAATTACTGATATTAGTCTCAGACTACCAAAGAAAGAAAGACGGAGCGTCGCGTGCATTTCAAGTAACGTCAAAACCAAGCCAGAACTACGCTCAACAAATTGTAAAAACACACACTCACGTAAACATACGCATCTTAAATAATTTGCAAGCAATAACATGGTTTTAAGTAAAAATATAATTCTATTAGTGTTTTATTTGAACAATTTTCTTACTTTCGAAAAAGCGAATAACTAATAACTATATATCGGAAAAAATACCCGCAAAGGCTCATTAACACTGTTCATTTTTGTACTACTGCGTTTGAGTAAAATACATGAGAAAGTTACATTATATTTAAGTAACAAAGTTTAAATAATTTAGTTTAATTTTAATTTGGTTTAGTTTGGGTCTATGTTTAACTTGGTTTAATTATTTTATCGGGGGTTGATTTCACTCGGTTACCAGACCTACGGCAGTTAGCGTCATTTTAACACTTTCTGACAAATACATGTACAACATTGAATAGAATTAGTTTCAAACTAATTTGTATAGCTATAGCCATCTCACTACTGGGCACAGTAAAGTAAAAAAATAAAGTTTTAGCCTATATACGTCCCACTACTGAGCACAGGAACCGCTGCTCTAATGCGTTTTGACGGACTTCAGACGTCTTTTAAAAGTGGTAGTGTGGAATAATGTTCGCAAAAGCAAATTTTTAGCTGGGAGGTCTTGTTGTAATAAAAAACGGAATTTATTACTGTTCATTAGACATATCTACTGCGCATATATCTAAGTACTATGTACCTAAGATAACTAATTTGTAACCTTTTAAGTAAGGTGTACAAAAAAGTGTAAATAAATAAATAAATATTTATAAATTTATTTATTTAATAGATTCTGGCAACTTAAGTATAAATAGAATTCGGTTAAAAACTTACATGCAGTAAACTCAAGGAATGACAAAAAGTGTGTGTATGTGTATGTGTTCGTGTGTGCGTGGTGCGTGCGTGCATGCGTACATGTGTGCGTGCGTACGTTCGTGCTTGCGTGGGTGCGTGCGTGCGTGCGTGCGAGTGTGTGTGTGTGTGTGTGTGTGTGTGTGTGTGTGTGTGTGTGTGTGTGTGTGTGTGTGTGTGTGTGTGTGTGTGTGTGTGTGTGTGTGTGTTACTATAGAGTTAGAGTAAATTCTCAGCTTCTTCATAATTTAGTGATAGCAAGTACTTAGCTATTACTGATCATAAAGAATATTGATTCAGTTTGTCAATTTTTAGTGTTTTATTATTAATTTTACAAATGTGAGGTGCTAGAAAATCATATTATCTTCGAGCAAGGGAGCTTCCAACAAGAGGTAATGGGACTCGGTATAGGCGTTGGACAACATTGGGCTGTGACAATGAAATTGTGCGATGATATTATCTTCTTATAATTTGTTTACTAAAAAACTTTCTAAAGCCATGTTCCTGGGCAGATTTGTAGTATTTCAGTTGAATAGAGAAAAGGGAGCTTAAACATAATTTCAGCAATTTTCTTTGGGTTCTTTCAACAATCATTAGGGATTATCATTAAGAATTTAGGATTTACGTGATAGGGCCATGCTCGGTCGGCTCGACCGAGGAAGGACCACACTCTCACAGAATACCCGCGCAAAATAGCAGCTTAACATTACTGTGTTTCGTATTGTGAGTGAGAGTGAGAGAGTGAGAGAACCGGAGATCCTTTTTACTGGAAAACAGGCATTCCATGTTAGTCCTCACGAGTGACTACGCATCTGCATTTTGATTCTTTATT